CACGGAGAAAAAAATTTGCTGATACAATAAATTTTATGTTGTCGCAATACAATCTATTACTATATGGACAGCAAGATGATTTGTTAAAAATTCTAATTGCTATTCGTTAGATTATTTTACTGAATCTACAAATTACTTTGCTATAAGAAGAAATTAGTAAATAAAGCAAAACATTATTTTGTTCTAACAGCAACGTGTCCTATAGAAAAATTCGTTCAGAATATTTTCTACCTTGGCAATAAAACTGTTTCTACATTAATTATGAATATTTCACTAACAGCATATCGGTATGGTAACAAAATATTTTGCTACAACAGAAAAATTATTTTTCTCCGTAATAATATTTTCTGCATAATACCGAGAAATAAATATAATATGATCCGAGAAAAAGTTTATATATAATCATATAAAAGTATATACTGACGCAAAACGTGCTTATACTTATACATCATCACATACTTATAGTTTATGCGAATAAAAAAATTCCCCTACCATTTTGCAAACAACACGCAAAATTTCGAGTTATTAATTATTGAAAATAAACAGTACCGAGTCTTTTTTAACTAATAATTTCAAAATTTGTGTGTTATTTGCAAGATGATAAAGAACCTTTTTATTCAGCGTGACCTAGTTTATAAGTATATGACAACTGTTCAAGGTTTAAGATTCGAAGTTCAAAGTTCAATAGACTAATATCTGTCGTTAGGTATAGCTGTTATATACTTATAAACTAGATCGTTCTGAGTAAAAACAGTCCTTAACTATAACACCATTTTTGCACATAACACAAATTTTTGAATTATCAATTAAAAGAGCCTCTGTACATAACCACATTCAATAATTAATAACTTGAAATTTCGTATTCTGTTTACGAAATAGTAGAGGATTTTTTGTTCACGTCAATCCGCTCTATGCCCCTCACAAAGTTTGTCCCGTGGCTCCGAGACATTCTGTATAAATCATTTTTTCCCGGGGTTTTTATTTTTACTACTTTTTTTTTTATTAGTACCTCTCGTTTCGCTATTTTACCGAACGATTCATGAAGTGGCATGATTCTGACAAGTCTGTGTTTTAAATCGTGCACCGGTCGACCATAATCTTCCGGACGGATTACTTGCCAGGAGCAAGTATACTTTTGTGCGCGCCGGCACAAATGAAAAATTGTTGCTAGACCATTCGACAAAGTGACCTTCGTTAAAACTTTGTACAGCTTTATGGAGGTGGCTAGTAGCCCGAGGTTGTGTTGCACGCAGTGGCGAGCATGTTTGCGTCAGGAGCGGGCAACGAAGCAAGCCGATATGGCCTACGTAGATTATGAGATATGAAAATCCAGGATTATCAGGCGCTTTGCCGCCAAGCATGAAAGACGCGACAATTTAATCACGCGCGCGCTCGCCAGCCGCAAAAAGGCGCAGAAGCCACGCGAGAGTTGGCCCCGACCGACTACTTTCCTCTTCGATCCTCTTCTTTTTCGCCAGGCTGTAGTTGTCGAGGCGCGCGGACATACACGCGAGAACTTTTAACGAAGTTTACAAAACGGCTGATTGATTTTCTCTTAACTCGATCCCGAGTTATCTTTGGAAACGTGCAACGCATCTCGAACGTCACCTCAAAGACCGATCAAAGAGACAGTAGTTTCTCTGTGCTTGAAGATAATTACAGTGAAATTGAGACGCGATCGGAATAATGAGCGAAATTACAATTTAAAGAAAGTGACATTTCCAGCCGATCTAATAACTCTTGGCGCTACACGGAGGAAAATAATTTTGCCGTTTTAGCAAAACCACTGCTACTACATATTCGTTGCGACAATAATAACATTTATTGACATAACCAATTTAGCGAATTATTCGCAATTAGAAAAGAAAAAGTTTTGTTGCCAGGAATTATTCTGTTAAGTTAATTTGTCCTTAGGTCACGTTTAATTTGCTGTTAAAACAAAATAATCTGAAATGTCCCAATTAGTGACAAAGTAACTTCATCGTGAAAATAAATTAATAAATTATCATAATAATACACGTGTTAAGTATATAACATTTATTTGATTCGAAACTTTAAACATTTAGGATTTTAAATTTTATTAGATTTCTTAAACTTACGATGAAATTTTAATTAATTTATAATATGTTCTTAAAAGACTGATGAAAGTACCATTTAGTGACATGTTACTTTGATTTCGTCCCAATTTATGACACATGTATGCCTGTATTATAATTTTATTGAAAATTAACAACGTTAACATCAGCGCTTTTTAATTATAAATTTGATATCATGGAAATTTATTTAACACCTACTTTTTAATAGTATCTCTCTTATCGATATCTAGAGTTATTGCTTTTAATATTTTTGAAGAGGTTCTTAACGTATAGCGAATTTCTCAAGTCATACCAATTCCCTCAAGACTGGACGTCTTTAATAGTACATCGTCAATGTTATTATACGTAATTCGTATTCGAATCATGAAAATTCGAATTCTAAAGTGTTTTCCTAAATATATTAATTTTTATTTATAACAAAATAATATGTAGATTCAGCAAAATAATCCAACGAATGACAATTAGTATGCTTAACAGATCGTTTCGCTGTCTGCACAGTAACTCACAGATTTTACCGTGACAGCATAAAATTTGCCGTGCCAGCGAATTATTTTTCTCCGTGTCCTTAAAATAACTAGCCGAAACGAAGACCTCGCGCACCTCGTCCAAGATAGAGTAATGAAGTAATTAACTCAGGAAAGTTAGACTGTATTTACATAATCTGAAATTTAAAAGAAAGCCATTGAGCGTGAAGAGACGGCTCTTCTCCAGGGCAAAATAATGACTGCGACGTTCCGTCGCCCGTCGCATTCGGGGCTTCCGCTTCGAAGGACATGCAGATCACCTGCGGAAACGGTCTCCACCATCGCGAAGACCTTCTCGTTTCTTAATTGAACCGATTAAAGCGCCTTTTAAACAACTCAGGTTTCCCGCACCGATGCTTCCGTGGAAGCGCGGGACGCTCGCCTCGGCTAAACGGCGACTTCTGTCGATTCTTCACAAAAGAATTCCCGTCGCATCCGACAGGACAATGCTCTCCCCGAGCCGAGTTCCAGAAACTTTCGAATCCGTCGCGATCCAGGAGCGAATTTTCTTGCAAGAAGGCATGCAAGCTCGCTACTACTCGGATAGACTTTCTCGTCGTCCTTCATTGCCTTGCATCCTCATCCCCGCGCCACGCACACTCTTAGCATTTTCACGGATTGTGACTTATCCCCGATCCTCGCGGAAGGAGCGCATACCTTTCACGCAATCCTCTTTCCTGCAGGAGAGGAAGCCAAGGTACAAGGCATGTCTGCATTTTAAGATGACGGCTGGAATTCCGAAGAATTTGATAACTATCTATAACAGGCGAGGATCTCGCGCGACAGATCCGCGACGAAAAATGTCTGTTCTATCGCAAGCGTCGACGCGAAATGCGGAATTTCGGGTAAAAATCAACGTTTCAGCACTTTCGCTTCTAATTACTTAGCATTTTAAAGAGCACGTTAAAAGTAGAATGTGATATTTTATGTTCGTTGTACGAGCATTTAATTTTCTGATAAAATTGATCTCATTGTATTTCTTTGTCTCTTCTTTTCTATATACCGCGCTCTATCGCACGCGTGAAACACTTTAAAACAACAATAACGCCCGTTATCTGGAGGTGTGTACTTATATGGAAATAGACCTTCGCCGAAAATAATACGGAGACACGTACACACATTTATTGCTATATTCGTCTAGAACTCGCTGGATTATCTTTTTTCCCCCCGTACCGTTGGAGCAGCGGTGTTGGATTTCCTCTTGGACCTTTATCCGCTTTCCTCATTCCGCTGTGTAACTCTTGCACGAATCCTATCTCCGTATTTTTCTTCGCCCTCGATGGTCCTTTATTGAGCTCTCGGAAGCAACCCCTGCCGGGCCGTTATACCGCTACGAAACAACCAACCTTGGATTTCGCTAGTGGATATCTCCTTCCTGTAATATTTTCCGATACAGTACCGTGGACGTCGAGCCAAGGTCGCTTCGCTACGTAATATATCCAATTTCTAGTTTCTTCCGTCCAATTCGACCGGTTTCATTTGATGTCTCACTGTTGGAATATCTTACGGGCAATATTCGATACCTGCGCGCGCGGTACGCGTTCGCGTGCGAAGGGAGATTCCGCAACCGCGACCATATATTTTAACGCCAGATATCGGAAAACAATCTTGAGAACAAGTAGCCGTATATTTAAATATGCGCCGTGGCTTCCGCAATCGTATCGTATTTCTGTAAATGCGTTTCCAATTTTGTACGATTAAAAGCGGATTATGGAGGATAAATTAATGCAATCTGTACATGCTGTGTCGCACATATATGATTTGATTTTCCGATGAATAATCGCGTCCGGTAAGAAAGAACGTCTATTCGCCGGAAAGTATCTCCGGTTTTGAAAGCGCAATCGGTCGCGATTCGTAGACGGAAATACTATTCCCCTGGAATGACGAGCGCCATCAAAGGCTAATGGATTCGGCCTGGGGTAATTCCGATCCATTATCTCGCTTGTAGAGCCTTCGTTCGCGCGGCCCGTTCAATCCATCCTTTTGTTTCTTTTCGCGTCCTGTTGAGCCGAAACCACTCTTCTCCTCTCCCATTCTTTCCCCTTGATTCTCCGATTGTCCGTGACCTATGATTCATTTAGGTAATTTCGCGCTAACCTGTATGATTAACGCGAAATCTTTCGCGACGTTTAAAATTCTTTTTTTATTTACGTAACGTACGTTGTTACCATCATTATATCAGGCACATGGAAATGAACTAATAAAGAGTATACGTCAGATTCTGATGAGGGTAAATTGAACCCCCGAAAAATGTGATTGATAAAATGAAACATCGAAACGACCTTTCTCCCTCACGGGAATTAAAACCGTGACGTGAGATAAAATGTATGTACAATCAACGAGTGATCATGTGTTAAAAAATTTACTTACTCTGTTTCAGGCTTTGGCCAGGCTACGCCAGTGCGCATAATAATCTAGGGACTCTCACGATAGATGATCAAGCGGAGTATCATTTTCTAGCAGCTATTCATGCTCAACCGGGTCACGTAAATGCTCACTACAATCTCGGACGATTGTACAGGTCAGTGAATGAATAAACATCTTTGTCCCGAATATTAGTGCGACGCGAATATCGCGGGGCCACTTCGGTGTGCAGAGCGGGTTTATCAATTACTGATATAATTAATCAATTGGGGCGCCCCGGCGGTCACGTCGGCGTGACTCATTGAATCGCATTATATCAATTAATTATTAGGAACCGTTTCTGGCCGCTCCCACGTGATAAAAGTATCTCCCCGTTCCCTGGTTCGCCATTTTATCAACGGGTTATCGACCCGGTGCGAGCCGCGTTTCCGACGGTAAATTTAGCGCGGGCTGTAATTCCAGTGGCATGGTTAAAATTAAAGTTTAATTAACGCCTCCTACTTGATAAATTAAAGTTTAATTAAGGATAGAAACGGGACACGTACACGCACGGGTAACCGATGCGTAAGCGTAACAATTTTCCGCTCATTGTGCGTGCATCGTGAAAAACAAATGTATGTTGTTATCATTTCCTTTCCATTTTCTCTTTCTGTTCCCTTCGAAAATATTTATTTAAGATCTACATATATATATATTCCATGCAAAATATTTATGCGACATTTGATTAGACATTTTTTTTATTTCTATACGCTATCGCAGCGATATATAAATAACTGAATCGTAAATTAAAATCGGAAACTGTTTTGCTTTCCGATAAAAAACATCGCGCGTGACATTGCAAAGAAGGAATGAATTCATTTATACAATATGTGTGTGTGTGTGTGGGGGTTTTTTTTGGGGGGGGGGGGGGNATGTTTTAACATTATAACGTGTTTTAACGTTGTAAAAGATTTTTATCAATTGTCTGGATAATTCAATTGTTTTTGCAACATAATTTTTATATCATATACAACGTAGCAAACGTATATTTAGGAAATAATTGATTTTACGTAATCTACATTAGCACTTGCACATCGAATGAATTATGCAATAGCTCAAATAGACGATGGAAAGTGATGTTGCATGTATACATGTATGTGTATGCGCGCGTGCGTACATGTGTGTACGTGTGTGTATATGTGTTACACATGAGTAACTCATGCACATGTGACGCGCGATGTAATAAGGCGACTCTCTTTGAAACAGAATGACTACATTTGCGCACGTAGGCCATGATGCACGCCTTTGTTTCTGTTTCGATTATAGAAGCGAGCGTTATCATCATCAACGCATGCATGTATGCACATTATCGTTGCATGAAGCTATAGAGAGATGTATGAAAATTGGACAGCACTTTTAAACCGCATGGCTTTCTTTTGACTTATTCATATATAAAAATTTCCCAAATATAATTTTACCTCATATCACATTGAGAAATATGTAGTTTCGCGATATTTCTTGTTTGCGATCTAATATTTCGTGACACATCTACTAAGTGAAGTAAAACACATGTACGGTAGAAAATAAATAACTAAATGAAATGTGCAAGGAAAAATGATAAAAAAAATTATCGGCGCATAAATAAATATCCCTAAAAATGAAACAATACATGTTCTCCCAAATTGAACTTATCAATCATCGCATGTATAGAGATATCTCACGATCTAAAGCTGGGTCACGACCTAAAATTGAGAAGGAATGATAACAGCGTAACGCATACTATCGTCCATTAGTTCCACTACATTGTGTAATCTTCTTATTTTATTTTATAACTATATGCTGCACTTTTCCCAGTTTTAAAGAGGCGCTCCTCTTAAAATGATATCCAAAGTAGAATATCGTGGTCTTTGTTCTTATCAGCAAATCTTCCCGTCCTTACGATTTATAAACTTCCATGATTTGTCCAGCAAGCTATTTGGAAGTGTTAAAATTAACGAACGGTACTTACAAAGTGGATTCATTAATGAATCCGCTTTTGAGAGATATCTTTTAGTTGGTTCGTGACACCTCATGTAGACAGATGTCTACATAAATGCTCTTTTATCGGCTAGTATTTCCTCTTTCGATCGCGTAAAAACGTCAGGAGAGTGATATTGGTAAAAAGCATCGGCCGGACTACGGGGAGTAAATAGTAAAAACGGTATTGTCGATCGGCATTATTGGCGTCGCCATTCTCTGACAATTACCGGGTCTTTTGTCGGGCGCAAAGTCGATTACATGAAAGCGCACGACTATAATTCAACCGGACGCGTTCGCGAAATTGCCGTTCAATTTGTACGGGAACGCCGAATTTATCGCGGCAACTTGCCCCTCGCTCTTTTTAACGCATATCGAGCCTTTAAAATCGTGCCTATCGACTTCCACATAGCGCATCGCATTTTCATCGGTATTTATTCGCACATTAGAGTAAGCCAAACAAATTGCCAACGATATTATTTTAGCGGGGGGACGCTATTGGTTTTCCGCGCGTTCGGTAGCGAATCATTAAACAATATTGCTTGGACGATATGTATTGAATTTATAATTGATGCTAATTAGGATTGAGTTGCTCGTTACCGGTTAAGAATAATAAATGACATTCTTCCAATTACGTTACGTTGATTACATTTTATTGGATTCTTCTAATGATCGCAGCTATTATTTATATAAAATGCATTACAAGCTGCGAGTGTAAGCACGACTCGTGTGTGTGTGTGTGTGTGTGTGTGTGTTGATGTGTGATACGTTTTGAAATAATGTGAATCACCCCAAAATACGACGCCACAAAATACGATTATATATATATAGCGAAATTTAATAGCATCGTAAAATGGAGTGAGGAAAATTGAAACGTCAGAAAATCTCGATACCGTCGAAAAGTGTCGCTCAACGCGTAAAAAGTAAGGCGGGGCGCAAGTCGAACTCGCGGGAATTTTCTGTTTTTTCAGAAGAACGAACAGAACGGAACAGTGCATCGAGATGCTGAAGAGATGCGTGTCGTTGGATCCGGCTTATGCGCCGGCGTTCATAGTCTTAGCGAGGATCGCGACTGGTCCGGCAACAGGCGAACTTCTGAGGCACGTGATACACCTGCAGCCACGTAACCCGGATGTTCTCGCCGAATACGCTCACTGGTTGTATGAGAACGGTGAGTCACCGTTACGGAATAAGCTAACGGAACAGCAGGTGGAAGACTTTAAAGCCACGACAGTAACGGGGAAGGGGGAGGGAGCGAAAGTAGAACAGCTTCGCCGTAACTAACCACGAAGCCGTACTCGCGCGGCCTTAAATTCACACTCACGGCGAGTCTGCCTTGTGCTTTTTCAGGTAAATGGCTGCCCTCGCTGCGCTACTATTCCAGAGCCATGGAGATTTTCCCGTCGCACAAACCGTCGCTTATTGGTACGCTCAGGATCCTGAGGCTGCGAGGTCAGTGGTCCCGGGTGCACCAGCTCATCATCAGGTGAGCATTTGCGGACCTTCTCGCGCACACGCGTTCTCTCTCTCTCTCTCTCTCTCTCATGCGCCGGACGTGTCTAGTCAACGGAAGCGGTGGAAGCATTAGCAGCACCCGAAAGGACGAAAAGGGACGGTACCCCGAGATTACCGAGCATCACGTGTTGCCCGTTCCGTTTAATCGCTCGTGCAAAAACGTTAGAACAGGCAGGGAGACACGGTCGGGAGGGTAGAAGGGATACCGTCGCGAGTGCTCCGGCGTGCGGGATTACGTAAGATAGTACCGAAGCCACATTCCGCAGGATATCAACGCGGCAGCTTCGGTTACAGTGAGTCGCAAATGTCCGAGTTCGTAACTTCCCCGGGCAGGCGCACACGAAATCGCCGCATGTATGTACTCCCCGACGCGTTACAAATTCCGGCCATGCGACGAAGCGTGGCTCTATCGCGCGGAAATCCTTTCAATTTCAGACGGGCTTTACAGCGGCGCGCGCGCGCGAATCAAGCGGCCGGGCTTATTCGCGCGGCAAGTACCCCGGTACGTTAGCGCACACGTCGATTCGCAATCAGCGGACGGATTCAATTTTTTCGCGGCAAGCTTTCTTCCCCTCTCACCGCGCGCGGGCTCGATTTTCGTTCCGCGCGGCTTGATTAAAAATTCCACGCGATCTTCCGTGTACTTCGGTGTGGAATATATCGGATGAGAGAGCGAAAGGAATAGAGTCGCGCAAAAAGGCAACAGAGAGATTCGGCAGTTTCTCGCGGGTTGATGCGACCGTTCTCTGTCTCAATCTCCGGTGGCCTCACCATTCGCGTTTCTGTACGTGCCGCGTTTACGTATACACGTAGATTATACGATAACGGGCGTGCAAGCGGGTCCCCGTGTTTTCGCTGCGACCACCACTGCCGGCCCGCCGTCCATTTTTCCACCCTCGCACTCCCGCGTAATCCTCCCACGCTCCGCTCGCCGTGTGTACGTACGTGTGCGTGCGCACGCGTCCGCGCGCTCGCCTGTGGTGTGTGTGTGTGTGTGTGTGCAAATAGCGCCTATAAAACACGCACGGTAAATTTGCCAGCGACGATTCGCGCTGTTTTTGCAGCCGGCGTTCACTCGACAGTTCTCTCTCTCTCTCTCTCTCTCTCTCTCGCTTTCGCTCAGCGAAGAGCCGCGGCACGCTGGCGAATCGTCGTCCGAGCGTATACGAGTTTTGCAGGGCCAGGGACAGGCGTGTAGGCGTGGCAGGGGGGTTGTAGGAGCAGCGGGTCGAGAGAGGGTGAAATTTTGGAGAAACAACGCCCGGAGAGGCGCCAGCGGACAGGCAGTCGAGCGGTGAACCGCTCTCTCGCTCTCTCATCCCCTCTCTTTTCCCATCTCACTCCTTTTTTCTCTCCCTTCTTCCCTCTCTCTTTCTCTCTCTTTCTCTCCCTCTCTCTCTCTCTCTGTGTGTGTTGCTACCACACGCGAGATTTCAATATGCATCGTTTGACAGATGTGGCGCATCGCCCGGATTTTAAATGCAAATATAAATCTCTCCACAGTCCGTAACGTGTCGGCGGGCGAGAAGGGCGTAAAATTCGTAGTTGTGTGTAGCGATCGAAGGAAAACAGAGGGAACTTAGATGTCGGAATCATCGTTTCACGCATAATCGAAGTAGGAATGCGATAATTAGTGATTACTGTCGCGTAATGTGATTCGCTGGCATGTATAAAAGATTTTGGCGTTTCGCTCAGAGACTCGAAAACGTCGAGAGTGACGCGAGTAACGCGTCCCCTTGTAATTCTCCCGCGTCGCAGCAGAAGAATTATTTCGCATTTAAACGATATTCCCCCGCGGTCTCCACGTTTCCGTGAATTTACAGCGTCGAGATAAATTCCGAGCTGGCAACTCTATATAATTTTGTGTTTGCACAGATATGTAACTATAATAAATTTATCATATTTTATCGCTTGCGCGTTGATCGATTTACTGTGCATGCTTTCTCTCTCTCTCTCTCTCTATCTGTGCGCTCTATTTAACTTATTATTCGCGACATGAATCATTCACCGGAGAAGCGTGGAACTCGCAACGTTTGTTACTCAACGGCCCATTCAGAAGCAGCAGTACAAATCGTTCGCCGCGCGTATGCTCGTAAGAGAGAATTATATCATTCGGAATACTCCCTCTTGTTCGTCAATAAACGCACGCGGCAAAGTTTGAATGGCATTGTCCACCCCGATGCCGGTAAACGCTGGCGCGTTGACCTTGTTTAATTATATTATTTTGAATTCGCGCGTCACGACTGTGACGGAGAGGCGGGTGGAGGACTATCCCCGCTAACTTTCTATGGCGCACGAGAGTGCTTCACGTTTCATTTATTTAAAGCCAAGCCGAGGCAGCCCGCTGCTGTTTCCAGTTTCACCTCGGCGGAGCGATAGTCGGATTAATTTCTCATAAATCGCCGGCGGTTTTCGTTGATTGGGTCACGGTTTCATTTGTGCCTCGCCCCGAGACACACACCGCTTTCGATCTGAAGTAATTAAGTGACGCGATCGGCACGTAGCTCGATATCGAATATCTCCTCCACGTCCCCCCGTTTTCACAGACGCGCAATATTATATTGACACTGTCCGAGGAAACCCATTGGCCGAACGTGTGACATGGTTACAGCAACGTTTTGAAAACGAAGTGGCATGAGAAGTGCGATAGAAGTGTCGTATCTTCTGTCGCTTTTCTCTCTTACCACTCTTCAACATTCTAGTGATGTATTCGGACAGGTGATTACATATTATAATTTAGAGAAGCGATTATGTGATAACATAGAGCTCTGTGACACGGTTAATATTTACGTTATTTGTGAGAATTAAACGGAATCATTACGATGGAATGAAAGTTGTAAAAGAAAAACAGACAGGATCTCTTTATGGCAGCGATGAAAAATTCAACGAAATTAGGGAAACATCTATTAAGTCTCTTATAAATATGCTACGTTACATTATCGAGACGAGCCATAGTTTCTTATTGAGACAAGACCCCGGTAGTCTCCTGACGCAATTTTCTCAGCCATCGACGAAGCTTTTTCCACTACACTGTCGTTAACAATGGAGCTATGTTCCACAGGATGTTCGTGCTTAGATGGTGAACATTGTAGAAAAGATGAGAAATAGAGCCGCCGGCTACATAATCGTTTCTTCTCCCGGTGTCATATTCATTGTTGCGATGCGCATTTGCGAGTCGCCGCGAGAAGAATACGTACATTTAATTATTAACGCGGCTGATACGTTTGTACAGCAATCTTCACATCGCGTTAATTTGTTAATGGAATAAACATGATTTTACTTTTACGCAAGAATAATTTCGACCAGCAGCGGCTAATAAATAAATACAACAATTACAACAAATATATCGAAACTCTCGGTTGTTTATTAATTATGTGGTTTAAGTCAGTGGCTTTTTATACTTCGATTAGCAATGGCGAATTCAATTAAAATCATGTTCGTTGTCCGATAGAAAGAGAGAAATATAACGCTCATTGAAAATACCGCCGATTATTGTCATGTTTTAGAAGCGCGGCGCGCATTTTCTCCGCTGCTATGTAAACCGTTTGATCATCGCACGTGAAATCGTTTCATTAATGTTTTCCGTCCGATGCGTTTCCATTTCATTTAAAGAATCGTCCGAATGTCCAATTTCCGAAACATTGGCTAAATTATTGCAAAATGCGGAATCACGTGCGGCGAGCGTTGAAAGTATGCATGTCCGCGTGAAAATAATTTTGGAATACGGAGCCTCCCCCTCCCCCGTTTATCGATTAAATTTGCTTGTTTTCCTATCATTAAATCGCGCCGATTCGAATAATTTTAAAACCGCGCCGTAGCGCACGCATCGAGATAAATATTTATCGGCATATTAATTAGCGTTGAAAGACTGTAGAATTTCATGTATCATTATTACCGAGCGCGTCTGAAATTCCTATTGGAAATATAAAAACCGGACGTATCTCTGCCGCGCGTAATCGGCCCGTCTGAAGTAACATCTGAAATAAAGGTCAACGCGAAAGTCGATCGCGAATGGTTCGAATAGTTACGCCGCGAAGAGTCGATCCCCCTCGCGCCCTTTTTCCCCTATCGAACATATAAATTCAGAGAAAAGCCAGTGTGCGGGGGGATAATGCCACGGGGCGCGATAACGTCGTCGCCGTTGCGTTAAGCGCTCGACGAGCTGATAAATCGAGAATTTACCGACGCTACCTGTATTACCGCAGATTTGGCGGAATGCATCGCGCGCGCACTCCCACAAATATTTCTTTTTTTCCCCCTCGGAAATTTAACACTCGCGATAAGCGCAGGATGAAAGGGAGCGGTTTGTGTCGCCAGTTCCGTTAGCGATCGCGAACGCTACCATGATGCATCGTCACGATCGTCGCGGCGAACGAACCGCGTTGGCTCGCGATGATCGCAACTCGCGCGACCCCGCGACTACCGAGGCGCGTCGGAACGCGGGGAAGGAACGCGCGTGTGTCGCAATAATTTTAAATCAACCTTCGCCGGCTATCGTTTCCACGAGGCAGGATGCGATATTACACCGGCGTTTCAACTCGCGAGCCCAACCGTCCCCGACACGGACTCTATCTTCCGCCGTAAATAGCGATTTTATAATTCATGGAGCACCGTGTTTCATCCGGTCTATCGGCGAACCACCGAACGGCCGATATGACCGGTGGCATCCGAGCGTTACCACTTCGTTACAACTACGGTCGAGCTGGAGTTTATTTCACGCAAACCGTCCGCCCGAGGTACAAGCCTCGCGGCTGGCTTAACAATGCCGGCCGCGAAACTTTAATTTTATTGAAATCTTCATCCTCGAACATCTTTGAATAAACGAAAGGTTACTTATCTTGACATGCGTCTGTAAACACGCAAAAGTGATCTGTGTCTCTTTAATCGTCAAATTTGGCATAAAGAACATATTAGGTGTTTGCAAAAGTTCCTAAGGTCACAAACAGGTGGCTGTAGCCGCGACTTGGTAATTGTTTTTCTATAAGTCGTTTTTAATTTTTAAATATCGGCCACACCGATTCAGAATTGATGGTTGACAATTCGTAATTCCGGACATAACGTCACATTTAACACGATTGAAGATGGAACCAGATAAAGTTCGTCTTCGCTGTTGCATGCTTTACCACTTTAATCGAGATGAAACTGCTGCAACAAAGACTGATTTGAGAGGCCTATGGAAAGAATATTGCATCCGCTGCTGTTCGTGAGAAGTGATTTGAAAAGTTTAGAAACGATAGTTACGATCTTAACGACAAACCACGTTCGGATCAGAAATGGAGAACAACGAGTTCGAAGCACTGAATGAAAAATATAGTTATTTCCGAAGATAACAATATCCTTTTTTTATTTTAACCACAAAAATAATAATAGCAACATGCGCGTTATTGACACTGACACTATAGTAATACTTACAAGAAAAATAGTTCTCTCGACTATTTTTTGTGGTTAAAATGAAAAAAGGATATTGTTGTTCTCGGAAATAACTGTATTTTTCTCTCAGTGAGCACTGCTCAACTAAAACTGAACCCAAACGTTAAAAGAGCTTGCAGAGCAGCTTGTAATTGATGAATCAACAGTATCCCGTCATTTGAAAGCTATGAAAAAGATCTAAAGGAAAGGAAATGACTTCTCTGCAAACGCGATTGCGAGCCGGCTTATCGTCTGTCTCTCATTACTTGCCAGGTATAACAAAAAGTTTTCGTGGCGAATAATTACGGATGATGAAAAGTGAATCTATTTTGACAATCTTAAACGCAATCTTAAAAGGTTAATCCCGGTCAACCATCGACATCCATAACAAAACGTAATATGACCAAAAGGTTATCCTGTATGTCTGTTCAAACCAAGAAAGAATTCTTTTCTATGGACTATTACCAGCGAGACAGACAATCACAGATCGCTATAGTCAACAATTATGGCGCTTAAGCTAAACCATGAAGGAAAAACGCCCTCATTTAGTCACGAGTCGACGCGGTTATTCTGCTTAATGATAATAGCAAGTCACATGTTATTGTTGCAACTAAACGTTCAAGTTAGATCGCAAAGACATAATCCCAACTGATTTTGATCGATTTAGATCGATGCAGTACAATCTATCTGATACACAGTTCCGAAACGTCGAGGAAGTACGAAAATGGATCGACGAATGAATGATAAGTCAAAAGATGAGTCTTTTCATCGACGCGGAATTTCCCGAAAGATAGCGAAAAGTTATTGACAGCAACGGGCCAATACTTCTGATTAAAATATTGTTATCTCATTGTTATTGATAAATAAAAACGATTTTAACATCATACGAACTTTCATCAGCACCTAACATATCTTGATGCTAAATATGCAAAAGTGATCTTGATCTCTTCTGATTCTAAAATTCTAAAATTGACGCGTAGCATCATATATTTCCGTAATCGTACAGCGTCAGAAATTCAACTTATCGGAAGTGCTTGGTTTCAACTTCTCCGAAAGCCAACGTCGACCTAAGCGTTTCTGGAATTTTTCAACAGTCGGCAAAGTCTGCTTTTCAGTTCCTTCGTTTTGATTTTGATATTATTTGAGCCGAAGCAGCCATGTCGCTGCGACTGCATGTTGCTACCTCGCGGCGCGGATGAGCCATCGATCGCGCACGATTTCGAGCTAACCCGATGTGCTCGGAGACACGTGAGATTGCTAAGTCACGTCGCGATTACAGTCGGTTCGAACTGGCCGAACGTCAACGTTGTCGCCGGCGCGAATCGATATCGGCATTGATAGTGGATGAGGGGTGAAGCCATTCGATATACATAGGCACGCGTTCGATTAACCGGCACGAAAACGCCGGTATTGTCAATGCCTCGAATCTGCTCTAACTGCGTCCCCGTAAATGTTACGGCCTTGATAACGATCAGGATTATTCGGATGACTGAATGTGCGCTCGGGACAATGCAGCGTTCATTTTGACACGACAAGATTCATTTGCCCGCAATCTAGAGCGTCGGCTATCGACGTTTTATAATTACGACGCGACATCGCGATGTGAAAAATCGAAAATTGATTTTTTTTCGATATCGCGCGAATAATCATTTGCGGGATAACGTGCGACGTGCTAATTTCAGAAGAAGTACACGGCATCTCGTCGACACGCTTTCCGAAATACGCTTCGGATCGACGCGTACGACGTAACACGAACGTAACGAACGAGCTACAGCACGTACGAATACGAGCTGTTCCTTCAACGAACGATTACAAACTAGAGCGAACGACTAGGTAATAATACGGCGAGTGAGGTTTTATGCGGATATTTTATAGAGAGAACGCGCATCCCCCGAGCGCGCCTAAGACACCCCCGATCGAATTGACGAGTTGAATGTATCGACGGATATAGGATATCGCGTACCTTTGTATCACTCTCGTCTATCAGCCTCTCCTGTTCTGCCTTTTTTACGGCTCGTAAACACGACGCTCGAGAGCGCGAGAGGGTAGGTAGATCAGAAACGAACTCAGCGAGCAAGTGACGCGTAAAAGGGATATGTCACTTACGAATTTATTTAACGTAGGGTGCGAGCGGATGTTGAATGATGATGCCCCCGGTGCTTCATGGCCGCGAAAAAAAACGGAACACGCCGACGAGAATTTTAACGCTATTTTTTTCCCCCAGCAGTTATCTGGATCAATCTGCAATTCGAGAGGCGAGAGGCGAATCGGTCGAAAAAGAGATGTTCCTTGATTGTTGCGAGAGTATTTCAGAATTTCGTCGCTGGCCGCAGCCGTAAATTGCCGCGCGCATTGAAAACGGCGCAAAGTGAAAACCAATCGAACGCGACGCAACACAAACAATACGAAATTTTATTTCTCTTTTCTGTTCCAGATGGCATTTGATGTTACGAGCGAAACGAGGTGGTTTCATCTATCGCGGCGATCTGTATATCCGCGCGTGGGAACTGCAAAGCGAGTCTCGTCAACGAGCTCATCAGCATCAACGGAATCTCTGCATATCGGTTAGTAATTTTGATAATATACGAGCATCGCATGACGTCGCGTATATACAGCTGGGAAAGTTCAACTGGATTCAGCTCGCCGGTTTCTCTCGTTGCCATCCGCTAGTTTTCCTACAGCAGCTTTTCCATGCTTATCGACGCGGATAATCTCGAAAGTTATTACCGGCACGATATGATATGCGATCCCTACCTGCGTCCTTTACCGCCGCCGTTTCTTTAAACTTTCTCGCGAGATTGATTAAGATTCTCCGGTCACGTCGTATCACCATAATTCTAATTAAATATATATATAGCCCGGTTTTAAACCCCTCCCCATTTATCCCCGTCTCTCATTTTTCATTCCGGTCCCGTTCCCGCTGCAACTTAGTTGGCTCGGCCGCGACTCGTTCCACTCATTAAAGATTTAAGTCGTAAAAACTTGCGCACTTGAGCACACGTTGTCCTCCCACCATTTCGCCCGGGTTAAGTCGCTTTTATAATTATCACGTGCACGTTGATAATAATCGTAAGGGGTACCCTTTTTGCTGGAGCATTCGTGAGCCAACTTCGAAGATAACCGCGATACCTTCGCGGAGTCACGAAGAGTGGAAAAATGCAGTCTGCCTTTCTCTGTTGAAAGAATATTCGCCTACAGAATATCGTGTCTACGGAAATACCGCAAATAACTAAATCTTGACCACTCCTAATTACGAATCATCGTAATATGATAGAATATGAAATCGTTACGAGTTTCTCCGTGCTGATTTTACAAGTTACATTTGAAGTGCTTTAATTGTGGCGCACATAGAAAAAAAAACACACATTTCTGTATACTGTAGAGTGTTCCAGAATTTGCTATCTTAATTTTAAAAAGTGCAAAGTGCTCTAAAAAGGTGTCTAAAAATGCTCTGAATAATTCAGAGGTAATTTTTGGATCGCGAAAATACACCGAGACGTCAACGGTTTTTGCAATATAAGCGAGTATAGTAGAAGCGAGGCTGTTCGTGAACTAAACTATGGACGACACACAAAATGAGGATAATAATTATATTATTATTTAAACAATTAGACAATTATATTTTTATCGATTACTTTCAAATGACCTTTAACAGAAATTTAATTTAGAGCTTATGTACAAAGATGTATTACGCTGAAAATCAAAAAATCGTCATTAAGTAATTATCGTCCTTAACATTTTCTCCAAGAAAAAAATATTATCTCTAGATTGTTGAGAAAATCTCTCAATTTTCCCATTTTAAATTCAAACCGTGAACTCTCCGGAATATACTCTCTGTATATGGGATGAGTCACCTAACATTAGAACCTGAAATATCTTCGTTATTCTTGATAATATGAGAAAATGCACGAGAAAGAACTTATTTGCTTCGAAGAGACAAATATTATGATAAATAAAAAATTTTTTAAGATCATGATTTTAGATTTCAAAGTTATCAGCAATTTTTACAATTTTAATTGTAGCTAACAGAAAGATAAATTCAACTATGTACAATATATTGAGATCTTCAGATGACCCTTTGAAGTGGTATTGCTATAAAATCGTAATGTAAAGTAAAAGCGATATGTGTGTTTTATTTACAAACAACTTGATTTTAATTAAGAATGTGCTCGAAATAGTGATCTCTGACATTAAACATTTTCGTAGTCAATTTCTCGGCTAAGAATATTGTACGTTATTAAAGTGTCGCCGATGATGTTTTCACATATTACGACAATACAGTGACGCATAACTTCAGTAGTTGTTGATCTTTTGGCAACATATACATGGTTGAATTTGTTTTTTTATCAGCTACATTGTGACAATAAAAATATTTTGTCACATTAAAAAAGTTGCTGATGACCTTGAAATGTTGGAAATCACGATCTTAAAGAAGATTTTTATTTATAATAATATTTGCCTCTCCAGAGCTAATTCTTCTTCGGACAATTTCTCAAATCGTCAGAAGAACAGTTGTATCAGGTCTTAATATTAGGTGACTCACTTTACTACATATATATTACAGATATTATTCGCTTAGTCATACGCCAATTTTTATTCATGTCAAAAAGCAGAACTGCAGGTATTGTCACAGGCGTCTATATATTACGTGTTACGTGCGCGCAAGCAACATCAGTCACGACGGAAAACATGACGTGCGCCAACAAGTAAACTCCGTGCTGAAGTTTCATAATTCTGAAACTGCATTTGATCCAACTCGAGACTTCCGACATTCAAACTGATATTCGCCATTAGTACCATCATTGCTATTCAAAGATGACAGCACTAATTAATTAACGCACTTCATCGTCGTCATTAACCATTTAACTTTTGCGACAGCACAACCCAGACCTCTAATCGCTTAATATCGCGTTACAATCGGCATTTATCTTTTTCCTGTCAAGAAGGGCCTTTCGTATTTCTCTAAAGTCCTTGGTATTTCGTATTCACATTCGTGGAATGAGTCTCACGGAGCTTCGTACGCGCGCCCCGGTATGTAGCGTCCAATATGCATAATCCGACAGATCACGGGGGTCCGCGCAACATTCCGCTCGAGCATCGGCCAATTGTCTGTTGCAGGAGAACGGATGTTCGAGGCCGCGCGTGGCCAGTGTATCGGTGCAACTCGAACAAGACAGCAACAAGTCGGAGCAGCTGCAACGGGCTCCGCGTTGCAACGTCCGCGCTTGCAGACAGCCGAGGAAAGGTAAGGCGCGCGTGACCGCGCCCGCCCTACTCGTCCAGAATCTACTGGAGACCCTTTAGTCCGCGCAAATCGGGGAACGGGTCTACCTCCTGCTCGTTCGCCAGCTGACAACCACGAGTCGTATGAGATAAAGAGGAGGAATGCTCCGCAGAACCTCGTCCGACGATCGCCAGTGACGAGAAGAGGGAAGAAAGAGAGCGTGTATGTGTGTGTGTGTGTGTGTGTGTGTAGGTGGGTGGGTGGGTAGTTGTGCGTATGACAGAGAAAAAGAGAGAGAAAAGAGACAGTTCTACCATAATGGAATGCCTGAATATTTTTCGTATGCCGTGTTTGTGTGCTATTAGGTCATGCAAGCTCGCCCTGACCTGTCACGGGTCGTTTACGATATTGAAGTGGACGAAGGTACGCGTGTAAGGTACCGGTGATATCGCTGATGTGTGTGTCCTTGCGTTCTTCGCTGTTTATTCCAGCGGTGTTCGTCGATGTCGTACAGTGACGAGTCGTGATCTTTCTCGGAAACAACGTCACGGGAAAGACAGAAACGATTGACCGCTGCGCGAATAGATTCGACTTCGAGCTCGAGGATGGATTCGGCAAAATGTTATCGAATCCAGCATGTTACTAATCACTCACGCCAGGACGAGCGACGACGATGCGCGGGTGAGAGAATCGTACGTTAGAATTGAATTACACACGAAATTATTTTGCCACTTTTGAATTCGTCGAATAAGGATACTTCAACGAGAGAGGACCAAGGGAGATTCGAGCGATTAAAAGCATGTGCGACGGAACGACCGTACGAATCGTTCCTCGCGCGTCGATTAATCGCAAAGACAAAGATATCGATGCCGAGCTGCGTCTCAGCGCGTGTCTGTCTATAGTTTCGAAACGTGATAATCGTAATTGGTAATATAGTCACATATAGTACATGACGTGTTTCTATCAATATTCGCTGTATCTCGTGTGTGCTTTCAACGTTTTTACGATGTCTGTCCGGACAAAGACGCGACATGGCACTGCCAGTGTAATATTAGAAATAACCAATCTTTTATCAAGCAACACGTCGCAACAGAGATTGAGGACTTTCTCCTCGGAAAATATTTTGACAAAATAGCCGGACAGCAGGACGGGGTGGATGGAGGAGGGGGAGGAGGACGGATGCACATTAGCGAAACTATAATCCCCAGAAAAGTATTTAACGTTGGCGGACGAATATGTCATTCGTGCTAAAAAATGAATCGATCTCCTAGTCAAAGTGTCTGCTTGAGAGCATTCGGTATGTATTGTCAAATACAGCACACTCGTCGAGATGTACATTATATTTTTCCTGCCGCTTAACATCGACAAGTGCGGAAGTTGTGCGCGAAAAAGAAAAACAGAATCATAGCGCTGAACTTTATTTTTCTCCACGACAATGATCGTAGCGCGGAGTGCATATAAAACGAGTACTGTACATACTTTTAATACTCTTTCTCGGATCGTTCTTTGTGCGCCTCTCTCGTGGACACGCAATTTTACGCACGTAAATATACGGTGCCAATATTAGGGTATAATGAGTGTACCGCTAATCTGCGGCGTTTGGTATGGCTTTTGTATGAAAACTAAACGAAAAAAAAAAAAAAGAAAAAGAAAGAAAGAAAGAAAGAGGAGAAAAGAGTAACAATTTCAAAGAAACACATTCTTCGATGAGCTTGGTATGGCAACGTTTCGCTGCGAGTATGTCGTAAGGAAGACTTTGCGAAAGTTCTCTGTCGATACTTATAAATTTTCATTATAAAGTTTGTGTTAGCTGTGTAATACTCGGCTACTTCGCATCGATAAAAATTCGCAGCCATACGATCGGTATTTTAATTATACCACTGCGAATTTTTGTTATCCTTTTAATTAAACCAGAAATTGGTGTCGAAATTATACGATAATACATCAACCGTAATAATAAAGAAAAAGAACTGAGGATTTATTAAAGTTAAATAAAAGATCACATAGCAGTTGTTTCTGACAGGCAACGAAGACGGGAGATCTTTTCGTGATTAGTAACTGTCCGACAAGATAAATGAGATCTAGTTCTGTCAATGTCAATGTTGACGTGTGCCGTATATACGGAGAGATTTCCCCTTTTATTATTTATTTGATTTCTCGTTACCCAAACGTCCCCTTTACGAGTACTTGCGAAACCTTGTCGAAACTTAATAGAAGACCAATGTACATACTTGTATACAGAAATGTTACATCGAAAGTTTGGCGATGCTTATTAAACTTCTCTACTATACATCACTGTCGTATGATAACGTTATAACAAACTTGAATAAATAAATTTCGGCCATCCGACTGCAATGGTCGGGTGACACTTTCGTGAAAATACCGCGGATAATGGAAGGAATGCAACGAAACGCGAATGAGACCTAGACTATAATGGTGTATGGAAATGGCAATGCATCCATATGTATGAAGTTACATTTTCGGTTACAGTATCTTCCTTTGTGTAACTCTCCTGCTTGGTGTTCGCAGTTTGAACGTTTTTATTCCAACATTCCGTTTCCATGTGATAAACATTGAATAAAGTGTCTATCATTGAACAAAATACTTTTAGTTTTCATTAATTACAATATCGTTTGTATTTGAAATATCTTTAGGAACATATATTTCATGTATTCCAATATAAATTACATTATACATATATATTATTTTTTTATGTTAGCTTAACCTAATGTGATAATTGTTAATTTAAATTGAAAAAGTGTTTAAATCTAATTTAATTAATAAAGCTTGTGAACATAACGGAATTATGCATTAATTGCGCGACCAGCGTTAATCAGAATTGCGTAAATTTCGTGCAGGCACAGTATCATCGTTTGTAAGAGCAGAAAATCAAGTTTCCCCTCGGAACCATGCGGATGAAGCTATTAAAATAGGAGATCGTAGGAGTTGCTCATTAAATAAGGTAAGATACAAAATAACGGAGGTTAATGCTAATTAATATAACATACGGAAGTGAGCTGGCATTCTATTTTTCGTACATTTAAGCCTTAGACGTTTCCCCCAGTTTTAACAGAAAGATAAGCACACTTAGCACTATCCCCTACCATTTTATTAGAAATTCCTCGAGGTATAGCGTAGCTGCGCATATGACGAATTACATTGTTCATGACAGATAACGTCTATTCTGCTATATTAGTGAAGACAATTTTGTGATATTACGTAATGGTCGAACGTTGAAAATGATCGGACATGTATAACTTCCCGTGTATTGATTCGTATATCTGCAGGAATTGAGCCCGTATTCTCCATGCGAATAACCTCCAATAACTATATCATGGGATTCAATTGCGATCAATTTCGTTTCTACCGGACGATATTTTTCTCGAGAGAGCGTTCGGCTGGTCGACGATAAGTTCGGCCGTTGATTAGCGTCTCGTGCGTACGAGACTGACAGCAGAATTTTCCGATGAGAGTTTAGCGTTGCGTCGATTCCTTCAATAGCGAACGAGACAGAATAAAAACGTTACTAAGGAAATACATAATTGACAAATTCACGATTCCAGTACGGGAATTCCGTATGAAAAATTGTACGTGGGCCGTATATAATTAGCCGCGATTGATTAGTCTAGGTTACTATCCAATAGACCAGTTTGTATATCTAATTACGATACGTTATTAATCATATTCATTGTGAATACAGCAATTATAAATTATCATAATAAAGTGTATGTTTATATACATATACCCGGTATACCGCATACGTTTGATTTATGCGCCGGCATCCGGTCACTGCCAATATTGACGATCCTAAGCTACCTACACCTAATCAATTATCCAGTTTTCCCTCGTTTAATTATGGCCGTCCGGCCAAAATTGCGGTCTCGTCGACCAGGCCACGGTAAATTTACAGATCGCCCTTCCTCCCACGAGTGCGGCAAGAATAGGTCGACGAACTTCAACCGGAACTAACATGATAGCGCTGCCATAATTTTCATTAAACGCGCGCGTTCATAATTTGTATTTGCCATCGCGGTAATCGCGATGATAGACTAGGATCTAGTATGCCGTAATATGGCGCAGATACGGGCGTGCATTCTGTGAAAAGATCGTTCGCCGGAGAGAATTACCGTTTAGTTACCGTTTGCGCCAATGGACGGCTATTTATATTTCAAATTAAATATTATAATTTTTTCCTACGTTTTTACACGAATCTCGTTACGACGCTCCAAATCCCCATTCTGTAAGTGAAACAGAATTTTTTTTTATCATTCCAATATTTTTACCTTTTTTTATGGCAGGTGCCTGGTGCATTCACGGAAAGGTAGAAATTTATCTATCCGACGCGAGAGTTAACGTCACTAGTCGCACTTATTTTCGTCACGATAATATTCCGGTTTGTACAAATTTCTCGAACCATGTATCAACAAACCGATTATTCCACTTCAAGGCAGTTCTTTTTATATCTCTTCGCAATGCTTCCGAATGCATAAGACGTTACCTTCCTTGGTGCAATGTGTAGTTATATATAGTACCGAAATAGACGACGCTAAAATAGACGTGCGGCGAGATAAAAGCAGTAGAGCACGTACGCGATTCTTTTCACGGTTGTACGAATGCGTGCACACGTATCGCAATCGCGACGCACACCTGAGCAAATTCACCACTGCCGTGTGCAGGTGGTTTTGAAGAGTCGCCGTCATTATGTTGAGTTCGCACAATGAACGCGCGGCGTATCAACACTCTCACCTTATAGCCGGCGACGTTTGGAAATAATGGAGCTCGCCGCAATGCAGAATTCGGTGCCCCGGTAAGTATCGTGTAATTTTAACGGCAATTGCCGGCGGTTTGAGCGCGCCACAATTGAAATAGCCCTTATTCCGCCACTGCTATGGAATGCCGACGAAGAGGAGGTGATAGAAATTCTAGATTTTGTATTATTACGTAGAGGGGGGGGGGGGGGGG